GGAGTAAAACTGACTAATTAGATTAACCCCTTGTGTGTTCTTCTACGCAGATATCAGCAATAGTGGGACAATGATGTAAAGCACCAGCATTTCAATCACTATCTCATCCATTTGTTCTGAGTAGTGACAGCTGGATTTGTCCCAGCCCAGGGCCTGAACTCTCTGGAGACTGAAGCTCTCCTCTGCTGTGTTGGCCACACAGTTTTTTGCCTTCCTTAGGGTTGGTTATGTGATAATCGGCTGACATCTCTTGGACACGATAACAATCAGAAAGCCATGCAAGTGCGCTATATGTAGGCAGAGGGAGCAGGGCATGGGCCGGCTGCTGATGCTCTGCCTCATGAGACAACAAAATGCAGGGCAAGAAGGCAGATTAAGTCTTCACTTGAACTTTTCATTTACTTTTTCCAACCCCGCACACCATGGCAAAAGTGCCCTATAATGCCATACCCTGCCAATGGGCAGGACCTTCCTTGTTCCAGAGGAGTATCTCACCGCAGAACCACTTGACCAATAGCTCCCCCCCTGCTGAGACACCCCTGGGGTCCTCATGATCTGTCCGACAGCCACAAACGGCACTTGGCCATTTCTATGAAGTAGCATTTTCTTGTTTATCTTTCAGTGTGGTGCAAGAGTGCTGTGCAGGGGTTAGGGGGTGAGAGAAGAGTGGGGAACCAGACTGTGGCCATGTACTAATTATACATGTAAATCAGCTCCAGGACACTGCCAGGGACAGGGTGTGACAGTGCTGTCTGAAAAGTCCTGTAAAGCCTTGTCTCACAGGACATCAGCAGAAGGTGGAGGGATCACAGCATGGCTGAGGTTGGCAGGGACCTCTGGAGGTCACCTAGTCCAACCCCCCCTGCTCAAAGCAGAGTCAACCACAGCTGGTTGCTCAGGACCACGTCCAGTCAGCTTTTGAATATCTCCAAGGAGGGAGACCCCACAACATCTCTGGGCAACCTGCTCCAGTGTTCAGTCTGCCTTACAGTTAAAAAGCCTTTCCTTATGCTTCAGAAGAATTTCCTGGTACTTCAGTTCGTGTCCACCACCTCTCATCTGGTCACTGGGCAGCACTGGGAAGGGTCTGGCACTGTCTTCTTTACACCCTCCCTTCAGGTATACATTGATAAGATCCCGCTGAGCCTTCTCTCTTCCAGGCTGAACAGTCTCAGCTCTCTCAGCCTCTCCTTGTCTGACAGATGCTCCAGTCCCCTCATCATCTTCATGGCCCTTCCTTGGACTTTCCAGTATGTCCATGTTTCTTGTACTGAGGAGCCCAGAACTGGACACAGCACACCAGGTGTGGCCTCACCAGTGCTGAGCAGAGGGGAGGGATCACCTCCTCTGACCTGCTGGCCACAAACAGAGCAGAGTTTCTGGACCCTGGTGCTGGTCCCACCTGGGACCTCCAGAGAGCTCTGGGGCTCCAGGGGTGATGTACTGGATGGAGGCCCTAAGAAAAGGCTGCACTGTTGTTAGCGGTTTGCAAGCGTTTAGTTTCATCTGGACTATGTAAAGTAGTCAAATGCATTTCCTTTCCACCAAACACAGCCTAACCCTGACTGTTGCCTGAACAAAACCAGACCAAAGATCTGCATTTTCCCCTCGTGCTCAGAAAGTTTGCAGCCCCATGACCCCAGAGGCTGCTGCATGTGACTGGAGCGAGGGCAGAGCTGTGCACAGGCATGGAGTAGGTTTATTTTCCGTAGGCTTAAATGTAGTTTCTGTTCCTGTTGTGAAGGAGTGCTAAGGCATGTGAAGCTCTGTTTGGACAGTGAGTTTCCCCTGCTGGTTACAAACATAACAGTGAAATGGGTTCTCTGGACAGCACAAACTCTGTCTGTTCTCCCTGGCAGAAACTCAGAGCATCACTGCCACACAGAACTGACCTTCTCTGGCCAGTACCACTGCCCTGACCTCTTGGGAGCTGTTTTCCACGTGGAACTGGGCCCTCTCTCACCTGTGTAGTTCTGCATAAGCAGATGCAGCCCATCTCCAGCTCCCCCCACAATCCTGCCCTCAGGTGCAGCCCTACAGATGTATAGCATTGGGCACTACACTGCACCAAACCTCAGTTTTAGACACCATTCCTGTAGGGCTTTGCAGGGCTACCCCAGACACCATGAAACAGGTAGGCAGAAAGTCTACATGCCTGCCCAGTGCACAGACCAGATTTATGGCCCATGCATTCCTGCGGAAAGACTCCTCTTAACCCCTGCTGACAGTCTGACACGTGCACCGCTCAGGAGGAACTTGTTTGTGGGCTTCCGTGGATGCAAACTGCCTCAATACAGAAGTGCAAAATCTTTCATCACATGAAAAAAAAAAACCCCAAGAAATACTTACAGCCTGCTTCTTGATGCTGCTGTTTGAATAACTGAGTGCAGGAACATTTCAGTGATGGCAGCTCTATAACAGTCAAACATAAGTTTCTGAAGCTCAGCTTGCACAAAAAACAAAGTAAGAAGAAAATGAAGGCTTTCACAATTGCTTTCTTAGCATCTGAGATAAATGCAAAATTCCTTCAGCAAACAACTTAAAATTTTCCCCAACAATTTCATTTTTTTCTGTTGTTGTGACATAGCAATATTTAAGATGTGCATACTGATTTCTGAATACTAAAAAAAAAACAAAACCAGTTTTGAGCATTTCATGTTGGAACATGAAAGCTGTATTATTCCCCACAAGCATAATTCATGCCTGGGCACTTCCACTTTATCACAAGACAAAGTCTGAAATGTCAACACTACACCCTCAGGGGTCAACTCCAAATATATGGCCTCCAAGAAAGCCTTGTCAGGGAGCAGCGTGGGCTCGTAGCTCCCAAAGGGACTGGGAGCCAAGCACAAATAGGTGGCAGCAGGGCAGGATCTGGCCAGCAAGGACGTAGCCACATGGTGTCGGAGCAAGTCAAGCAGGGCAGGCCTGGGGATGCCACTTATCCTCTCAGAGGTGGAGTATGGTCTGTATTTGTAGGTCATCATACGACCGTTTTCTTTTCTGTCCCCTAATTTCTTCCATAATAATTTCTAACACTGTTTTGCTGTCAGCCTGTGCTTTCATGTGATATTTCCAATATCTTTTTGAATCACTAGAGTATACATTTAAGAGTTATCCTTCCTGTGTTTACTGCTTTTCACTTATTCGCAGAGCAGTTCTTCCATGTCACTTGTAAGCAGATTAATAGCTCTGCGCTCTGCAGAGTTCCTTATTGGACCTCACAACTAAAATCTCTCTATTGGCATAAATAGCCATGAAATTCCACCCATTTCGGTTTTGTCTATCACCACAAGTGATCATAAGGGAATCTTCCCTTTCATCCCATGAGATATCCATTGCTTTAAAAACCTTTCGTATGGGATCCTTGCCAAATTTTTTTTTTAAATCTGGTTGATCTGACACTGAGGTTATATTCTCACTGATGTGTTTTTTTCTTCAATTAGATGCATTTGAAGATCGTCTTTTACTTCTACTGCTCTCCCTAGTCAAAGCATACAGTCAAGATAATATTTCAAGAAGTTTCTCTGCTGCATGCAATATTTTACTCTCAGTTTCTAAGTTTGGAGCTGTTCAGTTCCTGGTGTTTCGGGGGATGAGACTCTCCCCACGTGCCACCAGGCTGCAGCGGGACGATAGATGCAGAGCAGAGAGCTCAGCCCATCTCCCAGGGCTGTTCCATCACTGTCCTTACCACCACAGTGGATGGGCAGACTCAGGTTTGTGTATAGCATTCCCCACTGGGCAAATGTCAGACAAACTTGCCAAAAACCACTCGGTAGGTTGAGGCATATGGGCATATTTGCATCCCCTTGTCACAGATCTGAGAAGAGCTAGGATAGTCTTCGGAAAATGAAATTATTTTCATGTCCTGACATTGCTTATGTCCTTTTTACAATAAAGCAGTATTTAAGGAGAAGGGTGCATGTGGTGGCCAAAAGTATGCAATTTGTGACAAGGGGATGCAAATCTGCCCTGATGCTACCATGCTTAGCCCTCCAGCGAAACTGCCTCCTGACGAGTGTGCAATGGCTAGCTCCTCTTTCCCTTCAGCCAGGATTTTATTACCTTCTGTCTTTAAAAAATGCTCATGGGAAGGTGCTGCACACTGGATGGTTTCAGCTTTTCTGATGTTGGCTGCTTTAGCAGAGACAAGGCATAAAGAGGAGAGGTGTTCTTCAACATACAGTACAAGTTGGAACAGATACATGTCAGCTGATTCAGAGATTTCCTGTTTCCTAGCTCTTTATAGGTCCTTAAGCACTATTGCCATCCTCCCCCCATGTTGGAAATCTTCTCCCTGTGTGGATGGGAAGATAACAACACAAAAAATCTGCAAAGAGCAAGACAAAAAAATATAGTGCAAAAGTCTTCCTTCCCCATTTTTTACTTTCACCATCTTCTGACTGATGTCACTAAAATAGCCAAAATTCCACTGTTTATGTGAAACCTCATTGCCAGGAACTAGGCATTAGTTTTGCAACGCTGAACTTTCTTGCAAAATATCCTGTGCTTCCTGGTCCAACCTTGAAGTTACCTCCAAAAATGCGCTCCCTGAGTGTTTTTGGCAGAGTGGAGCCTGGAGAAGCAGCCATAAATAGGAGAACTTTCACCAAGAGAGCCAAGCCACCTTCTTCCTCAGAAGAAGGAAAATCCAAACCATTGACAGCCTGTTAATCTGCAAGAGTATTTTGGTGACTTACTGTGGCAGTCTCAGAACTTCCAGCTGATGCAATAGAAAATATTTACGCAATTTCAGGCAAGCGATGCAGAGGGAATGTGCTGTGGAGGGGGCCGCTGTATTGCAAAATATGCAGATGGAGAAAGGGAGCAAGTCAGCAAGAGGGTGGGGACATCACAGGAGCAAGTTCTGCTGGTGAGTTCCTTCTGTGCAATAACTTTTGCTCTGAGAAGGCTGCTGAGCACATGGAGGAACATGGGATCTAATGACTAATCCTGAACTTTCCCATATCAAAATAGAAATTTCATTTTTTTTGCACAAGAATACATTTTCCAGTGTGTGTGGATGGGGAGACATCTGGAGAAAAGAGCAGGTGAGTGTGGGTTCTGCTCCCACCTTCCCAGTACAGGAATTCATGCCGTTGCTGTGGTATGGTCCAACTCTAAGAAAGAGAAGGTCTGGAGGAGAGGTGAGTCTCCATTTCCATAGTCCTGGTTCAACGCGGGTCTCCTCAGGTCACCATAGGGAATGGGAAGCCTGGTCTGCATGTAGCAAGCCCGTGATGGGTGATTTCAGAGTCATCAGAGCGACTGTTTTCACTTCACTAAAGAGATGGGAACTTTGCATGTCAAAGTAAGCTAGCACTTCACCTTACCAAGGTGTGCTGGGTTGTTTGATGAAGCGTGAGTGGTTTGGGAGTAAGAAAGAGGGTCTTTGGGCTTTGAAACTTTCTTTGATGGTTCTGCTTTTAGAAGTGATTGCTGGGTGATAATCCATTCTGCTGTAGGAAGTTGCACCGCATCCCTGCTGCCTGGAAGCTAGCCAATGTTATTCCAATCTACAAAAAGGAAAACCCAGGGAATTACAGACCTGGGAGTCTAACCTCAGTTCCTGGAAAAATTATGGAGATTATACTGAGTACTACTGAAAGGCATTTAGAGGATAATGCAATCATCAGGCACAGTCAGCATGGGTTCACAAAGGAAAATTATATCATTCTACAATAAGGTCTCCCACCCAGTGGATGAAGGGAAGGCAGTGGATGTAGTTTTTCTGGATTTTAGTAAGGCTTTTGATACTGTCCCTCACAGCATCCTTCTGGACAAGTTGTCCAGCTGTGGGGTGAGCAGGTTCATGGTGCACTGGGTGAAGAACTAGCTGGATGGCAGAGCTCAAAGGGTTGTAGTGAATGGGGCTACATCTGGCTGGCCAGTGTTTCTCAGGGCTCAATCCTAGGGCCAGTGCTGTTCAATATTTTAATCAATGATCTGGATGCAGGAGTTGAATGCCCCATTAGCAAGCTGCTGACGATACCAAACTGGGAGGTGCTGTTGGCTTTCTTGAGGGACAAGAGGCCTTGCAAAGGGATCTAGATAGAGTTGAGCATTGGGCCACATCCCAGCATTCATAGGATGAAATTGAACCCCATCCTGGGGTACATCAAACACAGCATAACCAGCCGGTCAAGAGAGGTTGTTTTTGGTGTTGGTGTAGCCTCACCTGGAGTACTGTGTGCAGTGCTGGGCCCCACCATTTGAGAAGGACATGAAGGTCCTTGAATGTGTCCAGAGGAGGGCCACAATGCTGGTGATGGGGCTGGAAGGCATGTCCTATGAGGAGGGGCTAAGGACTTTGGGCTTGTGTAGTTTAGAGAAAAGGAGGCTGAGGGGTGACCTCATTGCTCTCTGTAGCTTCCTGAGGAGGAGACATGGAGAAGGAGGTGCTGATCTCTTCTCCCTGGGATGCAGTGGTAGGATGCCTGGGAATGGTTCAAAGCTGCGCCAGGGGAGGTTCAGGCTTGACATTAGGGAGCATTTCTTTACCAAGAGGGTATTCAAACACTGGAACAGGCTTCCTCGAGAGGTGGTCGATGCCCCATGCCTGTCAGTGTTTGAGAGGCATTTGGACAGTGCTCTTAATAACAAGCTTTAACTTGGTCAGCCCTGAATTGGTCAGGCAGTTGGACTAGATGATCGTTGTAGGTCCTTTCTAACTGAAAGAGTCTATTCTGTTCTATTCTATCCCTCCAGCCACTGACAGTGCAGACAATTACTTTTCTCACCATAAGGGCAGTAAGCTCTGGGACAGACTTCTGGAAATCCTGCAGACAAAGAAGATAAGATGGATCAGAAAAGGGATTATTCAGTGAGTCTGTGATAGTAAAGGGTGAGATCTGAGAGGTGTCCTCTTCCTTGTAGGGCCAGTGATGCCAGTAACTGGCAAGACAGGAGGATACAAGATGTGTGAAAGTCCTGGCTCATTGGAACCCGACAGCTAATAATTTTGTTTGTCCAACCCTATATCTGGGAAGCTACTAAATAAATAATACAAGTCTATTCTGGGGCACAGGGGATTGAACCCATAGTTTCTTAAACTACTGTGGAGTTCAGGAGGCACAAGCTTAATGAACTGAAGCAATATGTACTTTGCAGTTTTTTTCTCTCATATGTGGCTGTGAAAAGTAGGACTGGCAGTGAAAAGGAGGAAGACAGGCAAAGTTTTCGCCTAGTCTGATGTATATTGGCTCCATCAACAGATAATAGCAAGGTGGTGTAATAAGAAAGGGAATGCGTGGTCAAGCTGGAATCAGCAGACCAAAATCCACAGAATGCTGTTTGCTAATCCAAAAGCTTGGGTGACCACAGCAGCACTGCAAGTTTCCTGCAGCAAAAGCCCAGAATCTTTGCCAGTGGCCTTCACACAGCTTAGCCTTGGGAGGGCTTAGAGTGACTTGGCTGGGCCACCTCAGGTGTGTCTCCACTGCTCTGAACCTCATGAAGGCATTAGCATCTGTGCAAACAAATCTTCTATCAGAATGGAGGTTTTCCTCCATCTGTCTGTTGGAAATGACCTTGAATGTTGTACCATGAACCAATTCCTCTTTAAGGTGATGTCTTCAGTTCATGATAGGCATTTATCTGGGTCCAAATGGCAGACACTAGAGGTGTACTTTATAGAGAACGTAATCCCAATTGTGATGGTTTCTTTGACTTAAATTTAGGATTGCAAATGACTTGCAACACCAAAGAAAGGTCTTTCAGCACCTGCTGATGTGCTAAGGTGACTTTGTTCTTCTTTGGTTTCATCTAGTCTTGCATTATCTTTGCAAACTCCTGGGAACAAGAATCATTTTCAGACCTTGTATCTGTCAAGGCACAGTGACAGTAGGAAAACAGCACCTGCATAGTCAGGCAATAATCCTCCTAATGATAAGAACTGTTGGATTGCTGGTGCCTTCCAGCACTCGAGTGGACTGCTATGCCTGTGTAGCCCCCTTGTTCTTTTGTTCTGAGGAATATGGGAATAATAGTAAAAAATAAACAGTTAAAGAATAGTAGGCTGCTCCAGGTCTTGCAGCCAGTAGGTAATGGAGCAGAACTGGTTCTTTATTTACCTCTTTGGAGTAGGTTTGAACTCAGCCTTAGTATTTGTGAAGACAGGACAGCAAGTTAACCCCATCAGTGGAGTTTGACAAGAGATACTACTTGAAAGTCCTGTTGTGCTTCAAAGGAAAATCAGTAAAGCATTATTCTCAGGCTCCACAGAAGGCAAAGGGATTATGTTCCTTTCTGCAGAAACAGCCGGTGCCACTTGCTGTCATGGGGATAGCTGCTTTGGTAGGGCCCTGTCCTTCTAGGGGGTATGTCAGAAATGTTGTTTGCTGCTTGGTCTTGTTTGGAACCGTTTGTGTACAGGAACTGGTTTTATTGCCAAGTGATAAAAAATCATTCCTGTCCAAACTGATAAAACTCCTACGAACAAGCCTGGGTGGCTGTGGAGCCTTTTCTGTCTGCCCAGGCCACCACAAGCCAGTCGTCAGCGCAGGTTGGGTGCTACAGAGGCCAGACCCTCTCAAGAGACACTAGAACAGTTGTGACAAGACCCTGGCAGCCCTCTCGATGCCTCGCCCTGGGGTCTGCTCCTTGCAGAGCAGCAGAGGAGCTCATTAATCAACACTAAACCTGCTTAGGGCCCCAGGGAAATGACCTAAAAATGAAGGCAAGGTGTGGGGTGCTGCAGCTTATGCTTTCCTGCCTGTGCTTCTCCCTGCCCAGCGTAGGCAGAGCCTTGGGGACTGAGCAGCCGTGCTGACCATGAGCGAGCAGAGCCATGTCAACAGCCTGTTCCTCAACGAGGACGCAGCCAAGCGGCTCAATGCCGAGAGCCGGGTGCAGCGCTTACGGCAGGCAGTGCAGAAGCGGGCAGCGCGGGCCAAGAAGCGGATGCACAGCATCACTGCTGACAGCGCTAAAAGCTTCTTCAGGAGAAACGCCTTCGTCCTCTTCACCATTGTTGCAGTCTTACTAGGTATGGAGCTGGTGGCAACACTGGGCACCACTTATAAATGTGGGGAAAAGTTTGTTTATTCTACAAAGATTTTATTTTATCATAACGATTTGGCTGGGAGGGTGAAGCTGATGAGCTGACACCTCAAAGTGCTCTTCACATCAGGAGTACTTTTGTGTGCAAGAGCAACAGACCTTGCAGAGGGTGCGTGTGAGGAAGACCTTGTCGATCCTTTCTGGCTGCAGCTTGCAAACAGTCTACAACAGAAAGGGTTTGATGATCCAGCTCTACCTACCCTCATAAAAATCATCCAGGTTTTTTCAGAGGCTTCTTGTGAGTGCAGCTACAGGCACAAGGGCTCTTCAGATTCATCCCACAGCTTTAGCCTGACAGGACCAGTAGGGGTAACTGATGCAAAGGGCTGTGATACAATGCAAACTAAATCTGCCCAGCAGTGAGTGGATTGTCCCTAGCTTTTGGTCCAGGCTATATGTCTCTAACTCACTGGCTGAACTCAGCTTTAAGAAGTGGGGGGACAAAGTCTCTGAACTGTGTAGTCACACTTAGGTTAGGCTGGGAGATCATATCTCTGGTCACAGCATTTTTGTGTTCATGAACATCCTGGGAACAGACCCCAAAGGAGCAGCAGACAGAACAACGAGGAAACCTGTGGTTTAGCACAAGGCTCCTGTACATATAAATATGTCAGAGGGAGAGAGAGAACATACAGTAAAAACTGGATCATAGCCTTTTAGAAAAAGAGCATTTGTTCCTTTGGGGAGAAGAGGAGCTGAAAGGAGATGAGAAAGAGAAAAGCCACACTGTAGGACTGAGGGACAGACCACTGGATCACACTGTCCCATTTCCATTCTCATCCCTTGTTGATCCACAGGGATCATCCTGGCATTTTCCCTTCGGCCGTACCAGCTGACCTATCGCCAGATCAAGTATTTCTCCTTCCCCGGCGAGCTGCTGATGCGTATGCTCCAGATGTTGGTTCTTCCTCTCATTGTCTCTAGCCTGATTACAGGTGAGGATGCTTTCTGCTGCTTTCAGCCAAGGCAATAATCAGCAAAGACAGATGCTACCTATTGTTGAAGTACTCCTTTGTGCCCCAGCTGGAGGTGCTTAGATTAGCTTGGCTAATAGTGACAAGCCTGAACCTACAGCTGTAGTGAACATGATTTGCACTCCTACTCCTGCTGGCTCAGTAGTGGGGAAGAGAAGCAGAAAGCCTTGTGCTTTCTCGGAAGACTGGGGGACACACAATGTGGTGTTTCCAATCCCCAACACTTGAGCACTAACAAGGATTTAATCCTATGTAACCTCGAACGTCAACAAGTTTGTTGCCTAAGTCAGCTTCAGGTTTCCTCCAGCCTAGGGAAGGTTAATTTGTGTCAGTCCAAAAGAGCTGGAGTTGATCACTGGCTGGAGAGCTTGTTTCATCTAGGTCTTCATAGAAGACATGCCAGCCATCCAAGGTTTCAGACAGCAGAAGGTACTGCAAGGCATTCCATCTGCTGAAACATCCCACCATTGGGGACTTAAAGGCCCAGTGCACTGAGAGGGGATTATTTCCCTTCTGAGAGCTTTAGGAGCTGCTCAAATGCAGCCTAAGACCAAGTGCTATGCTTCTTTGTAACCAGAAGCCACATTCTCCCATATTGACATCACCATGGAGCTGCAAAGTCTGCCCCTTGTATGTTGTGCTTCCTAGAGACCCCAGCTCCCTGTCCAACTCACACATGTGCCCTGCACACTTTGAATCTTTCTCGGGCTTCCCCCTTCCTTCTAAGACAATAGACCTTCTCACCTCGTCTCTCTATGTGACTCCCCAGGAATGGCCTCACTGGATGGCAGAGCCTCAGGGAAGATGGGGATGCGGGCTGTTGTCTACTACATGGTGACCACAATCATAGCAGTCTTCATTGGCATCCTCATGGTGATCATCATCCACCCAGGAAAAGGATCTAAGGACAAGCTTCACCGAGAAGGCAGAATTGAGCAGGTGCAGACCACAGATGCCTTCATGGACTTGGTGAGGTAGGTGAACAAGATGGTCTCATGTTGAGACCATATCAGTGAGATTACGTTCCTCCATGGAATGTCTTTCAGAAGTGTCACAGCTTTAGGCATACGCTCCTAGGGAAAGAGTTTATGGCTGTGTCTTGCCCAGCCTACTACTTCTAGCTTAGTCTAGCTAACTGGCTTTGCCACTCTGAGATTGAGTGCTTGACCTAGAGCTCTGTAGTCCAGCTCTTCTGTTAGAGGTATTAATGCAAGAGGCCAAGGCGTGCTCAGCAAAACAAGTAATGAAAACTGTCAATGACTGCATGTCCTTCAGAAATTCGCCCAGAAAAGGCTACTCCAAATATCCATCTTCACCGATCCAAGGAAATCAAGGAAGTGGTTCCTGAGACATTGTCTCTCCCTCCCTTGCTGTGACCTTACACAGTGAATTGGAAAGCTGTACTATCTCAAGTGGTATGAAGCTATGTTTCTGAGGTACAAGGTAACAGAGCTCAAAGGACACCTGTAGACATGAGGCTGAGAGCAAGGCAGTATATTAGAAGTTGTAATATGGTATTGTTTCAAGGTTCAGTTGGGTTTGATGATGCTTTTACAATGGACCCATATCCCAGTGCTGTATGTGTGTAGTCTCTTTCCACATACCTGAAATACAACCTTCTGAAAAGATGCGGCAGGAGTCTGAAAAGATGCAGGAGAGTGCCTGGCTCCAGATCAGTATATTCCACCTTCTGTCTGTCAATCAAACAGAAATGGCCCATCTGCCCTGTAGCCTGAGCTGGCATTGTGAGAGTTGTGACCTGAGACACTGCTCCAGGACAGAGGCATTGGCCAGGAAGCCCATGTTTTCTTGCTAGTCAAACAGGACAATAACTCTTTCCTTGTTTTATCTACTGCAGGAATATGTTCCCGCCCAACCTGGTAGAAGCCTGCTTCAAACAGGTATGAAATCCCACCTAGCCTATAACTTCCCTTTGCGCCCTGTGCCCTAGACCATGGTCCAACCTACTTCTCTGAGGGATGGAACAGCAATTGCTCTATACTGCCTTCACGCTTCCCCAAATCTGACTGCTCCAGGATGCATTGCAGTCATTAGTCTGTATCACACCATCCCCCACGAAAGCTTTTCAAGCTGTCTGTAGATGGAGGCTTCAACCTCTGCCCCATCCCACGCTCAGAGTCAGGAAGGGTTTGTGTGATCTCAGGTAGCAGTCTTGGACTGGCAGTGAAATGGGAGCAGATTCTCCAAGTATATTTCACTTCTGTAGTGCTACTGCCCTTGGAAACAGCATAAAGGGTTATCAGAGAAGCCAGAATACCTCTGACCTAGGGATTTGAGATGCTCCAATTGTCTCTTTTGACCTTCAGCTCTATGAACTTTTTGATGAAATCACTAAGCTAGGGAGCTTGAGAACAGGCAAGGCAAGTTTCCCACACAGGTCAGCAGGAACTTGCAGCACTCTTCTTTCTTTAGGAAGGGATTCAAGAGCCTAGCACGTTGTCCTGAGCTCCTGAACCAGGGCCTGTGAGTATATCTGATAATTTGTGTCTTTTCAGTACAAGACGCAGTACAGCACCAGGGTCTTCACCAGAACCGTCCTCCACAGCACCAATGTCACAGCAGGTGTGACAACCACTCAGATCCCTGTGCCTGAGAACTTCACCAGCATCCTGGAGAACGTCACTCATGCCCTGGGGACCATCTCCGAGGTGCTGACCTTTGAAGAAGTCATTCCCATCCCGGGCTCAGCCAATGGGGTGAACGCGCTGGGGCTGGTAGTGTTCTCCATGTGCTTCGGTTTGGTGATCGGCAGCATGAAGCAGAAGGGACGGGCCCTGCGGGAGTTCTTTAACTGCCTCAACGAAGCCATCATGAGGCTGGTGGCCATTATCATCTGGTGAGGAGCACGGCCGGTTGGAGCAGGAGGTCTGCAGGTGCAGTTTCCACTGACCTGATGAGAAGTGGGGTAGCTTTAAGGATGACATGCACAGGAAAAGCAGATGGGCACAGCTCTCCTTTGGCTCCATCAGGCTGGAGGGAAAAGTCTGGATGGGATATTTGTTCACATTTCATTTCCTGTTTTTTGTTTTTACCTTAGAAATATCAGGTACACCAGGACTTGCTTTCCTTGAGGCTGCTGGAAACATCCTTGGAAGACCACAGAGCTGGAGTGGAAGATCTCTTAGCCTTACCAACAGGGGTAGGGTGTGAGGCTTTCCCACCAAAAGCTTTCCTTCCAGCTATGTTCCAGGAGTCTGACTTAGCTATGAAGCACAACAACCTATTGCCACTTTCCTGCTACTCAGGGTGGCATCTGTATGCATGAGCTCTGTGAGCTGAGCTGGGTTGACAAGGTCAACTCGAAGTTACTCCCTTTCAATATGAGGTGTCCCAGATCCCAACTCCTCTAGAGCTCAGCTGCTTGTTGCTTTCTGTGTAAGGCTGCCTGTGCTACGTGGTCCAGATAAACACGGCATTGCTGAGATGAGTCTTCTCTACAAGGCAGCATTTTACCAAATCTTGTTACTTTAAGCTCTTTACCCATCTAGGGCTCAAGGTCTAAATAGCAGTTTGTGGTAGGTACCACGAGACAGGAGAGATGTGGGGCTGGCAGAATACATGGAAACGTCTGACAGGGAAGGGATCTGTCAGTCCCGCACTCTCTCCCATTTTAGATCACTCCAGCTTCCTTTCCCTGGTCTTCTAGTCACAGTCTTGTATCTCAGAACAGCATCCTCAGCATAGGGGGACAGGCCTTACACAGAAAAACACAAAGGGGAAGAACAACCCTGAGCTCATAGCAGAGTGTTGGGGAGCCCCAGCCCTTCTGGGATCTTTTCCTCCACGGATGAGCCAGAACTTGGGGCCTTGCTTTTTTAAGAAAAGATAAGAGTTGCCCAAGGGCACAGAAGGGAGAACACAAGCACAGTGGAACAAGTAGACCTGCACACTACTCCCAGAGACAATTTCAAGGTGCCTTCAACATCCCCTCTTCAGCTCCCCCTTACAGTGAAAGAAGGCAGGGCATTGATGTATAGAACATTGGTTACACTCAGGAAACTGTCTGTGTGCATACAGTAGGTACTGTCTGGAGAGACCTCCTGACTTACTTACAAAATCCAGCTGGTATAGGAGGTAGGACTGTCAGCTGCAGCCCAGCACTCCTTCCTGAAGCCACACTCTGCAGAGCATCTCCCAGGAGCTTGTTTTTCCTAGGGACAGCTGGTCACTAGCTGCAGCCAAGGATGTCTTCTAAGAAGAAGGTCAGAGGAAATGAAATATTTGTGAAATCCTTTCCTGAAACTTTTCCAAACCTCCCAGGCTAAGTTGGAGTTCGGCATGTGGACCTCTGAGCCTTGTGCATGAATTGCATGTGAGCTCTTGAGCTGTAGAGGCCCAGCCCTGAGAGTTGTGGCCGTGGAGCTGGGATTTTCTTTGGTCCAGTTATTTGTCCATGTTTAGTTTAGTGCCCATGATATTCTCCATGTCTGTGTTATGGCTTCCTTTATGTGGAGCCTCACTGCTGCTCATGAGATGCATTGTTATGGAGGGGGAAAAAAATCATAAGGAATATAAAGGATAGCAGTGTACCTCAGAATGGGTTTTTGTATAAGCCATGGCTGCTTTCACAGGTGTTGGTGTGCCTAGTCCTTGCTCCACCAGATGTGGATACCCTGTGTGTTCCTATTCCCTAAATGCGAACATCTGAAGATAGCAAGGCTGATATCCCAGAGCCTATAGGACACTATTTCTTTTACTCCCCAATTCCCTGTTTATCCTGTACTTCCCTGTGCCTCTCAGTAAAAAAAATACTCTCAGCCCAAGGTCTGTTAGGAAAGGAGGGGGCTCTGAAGACTCGTCTACGTAACCTCCCCTATCAATTCTACAAGGAGTGTTGTAGAAACATGTAGGGAACCCAGGAGGAGAAAACCTCCACCAGTGCTCAAGCTGTGCACACAACAGTGCTGGGGTCCCTGACAATGCAACAAGAGCTGTTTTTTGACCATGTGGTGAACAAGTGCCAGCTCTCTCCAGGTTTCCAGAAAACAAACCAGAAATATCATCCAACAATTAGGCTCAATGAGCACTTCTGGTATGCTGTCTTATTGGGGATTTGTCCAGACAGCATGCATTAAAGCTGGTGTGAAAGTGTGAGTGCCAGTTCTGAGCATTGCCCTTGTATTTCTGCCACAGGTACGCTCCAGTTGGAATCATGTTTTTAATTGCTGGCAAAATCCTGGAGATGGATGACCTAGCAGTGATGGGAGGTCAGCTGGGGATGTACACGCTCACTGTCATCGTTGGACTCCTCATTCATGCCCTCTGCATCCTGCCACTGCTTTACTTCATCGTCACTCACAGAAACCCCTGGGTATTCATTGCAGGGCTTCTGCAGGCCCTCATCACAGCCCTGGGCACCTCCTCAAGGTACGATGGCTACATAGGAATAGGGTTGGGGCTGGTGTGGATACTCTGGGACTGCTTCTTAGCGCTCCATTGCCCTCAGTGCAGCACTGTGGTCTCACAATTTCTAGCACTAGCAGCTTTTGCACTGGTCCAGCCAAGCGCATCTGAGAGTGGAAAGATTCCCATTCCCCTGCTCAGGAGCCCTAATCCTGTGGCCACCTCTAACCATCGGTGTGTGGCCTGTATTCTTCCTTACCAAACATGGAGGTGACTCTGCTTGCAGCACTGAAATGCTGAGCTCAGGACAAATATCAAGTCCCACTAAATTGCAGCATTATTCCACATGCACATACATCACACACATGTACTCACACATTTCCACATTTCTCCCTCCCAAGCATAAATGCAGTATGCAGCTGGCATTAAACTCACCGGAGGCCTGGACAAAGGCATAAACACCCATATGTTCAATGACTCACACTGCCATGCAACACAGCCAAAGCAAGGGATTGTAGGTAGCTGTCGTTTCACTATATGCCATATTTCTTGCTATATTCATTTCCTGGCAAGCACATAACAGTCTTTCCCACATGCGTTCTCATACTGAAACACACAGCATTTTTCCTGCTCATGTTCTTTTTCAGAAACAATTTTCTGCTTTCTCTGCAAGACATATTCTCTCACATGCGTTATTCTTGTCTTATGCACTGAGGGGGGTGAGAAAGGGCTCAAGTTTTTTAAATAGCTGGAAAAGGAGTTTTGGTCTTGAGGCTCTGTCCTATGTACCCTGAATCCTCCAGCATCACCTTCTTTTGGTGTTATACCAGCATCATCAGCCTCAGGGTTACACAGCCCCTGTCCCAGCCCCCTGAGGAAAGCCATGTCTGAATGTGCAACTGCAGCGTGCACCATATCTGAGGAAGCCTTGCTTAGACTGTTCTTTCTCCTAGCAGCTTCTGGCCTCTGGCTCACATGGCAGGGTGAAAAAGCAGGTGGGTAAGGTCATAAACCAGGCAGAGGCTTAGTCCCTCTTTCAAAGCCAGCATATACCGAATTCATGTTATTTTGTAAATTCCTTTCAGCTCAGCGACTCTACCCATCACCTTCAGGTGCCTGGAAGAAAATAATGGTGTGGACAGGCGCATCACGAGGTTTGTTCTGCCTGTGGGAGCTACAATTAACATGGATGGCACTGCTCTGTACGAGGCCCTTGCAGCCATCTTTATTGCACAAGTCAACAACTATGAACTTGACTTCGGGCAGATCATCACAATAAGGTGACTTTTGAAAGAGTTTTGGGACTACAGGAAGGGCTTCAGTTTTGTTGTCTTATCTGAAGTGTGGTCAGGTTCCTCTTTTGCTCAGAAGATACAATGAGAAAAAAAAAGTATGGAAAGGAAGGGTGCACTACACCTCTAGGTACGGAAGAACACATGATTTGGGCACCACAATTTTGAGGCTCCACTTGAGGCCTTATTGCATTTCCAGGTCCCTTAGCTAAAGCTGCAGTGTGCAGTCTGTTATGGATGGGTGCCTGGCAGGTGGGAGCTTGGCTGCTGTGTTGATGTCCCATGTGTCATCATCCTGCTCGGTGATCAGGGCAGAAAGGCTGCCAAGGTGTTTTGTAGACTATGAGTTTGAGCTACTTCCTGACATTTTTGCAAATGCAACTACCTCTTTTCTTCCCTTTGCTGATAGCTGTGCTTTCCTGTTCCCTCCAGCATCACTGCCACAGCAGCCAGCATTGGAGCCGCAGGTATTCCCCAGGCAGGACTGGTGACAATGGTTATAGTGTTGACATCAGTGGGGCTGCCTACTGAAGACATTACGCTGATCATCGCTGTGGACTGGTTTCTGTAAGTTCTCTGCTCAGCAGCATGCACTGCTGTGCGCTCCCTGCCAGTGCTTACAGAGTTCACCTGTACTCCCAATGTCTCTGCTAAAAGCAGTCTCAGTAACCTGTATCATTAAGCTTAAAACACACCTGTATCCATGAGACCTCTGCACAGTAGCACATTCTGCCCATGCTGGAGACTTCACCATGTACTTTCATGACCCAAGGCATCAGAGGTCACTTGCAGATCAGCCTGGTCACCAGGCAGAATGTCCTTAGTTTGCTTTATCTTAAAAGGCACCCAGAAACTATCTCCAGAATGGTAGGGACAGGTTGTGCCAATAGTAAGCAAATTCACACTGCAGAGTGATGGTTCTGCGCTACCGAACATGGAAAGTGGGATGAGACTGGGCTGTACACAGTTGAGGAGTGTTTAGATGGGTGCAGCTAGTCAGCTACTTTGCTCCATTTCAGCTTTCTTTCCTTTTTAAACCTTGGGACAAGTGATTTCACAGGAGTGCTCTTAGGAACTAGGTTGAAGACTGCATTTGTGCACAGTCCTCGCTCTCTCAGTCTTCTCAAACAGAACAAAATCCCGACTCAGGGACACACTGTCAGTGTTTCCTCTGTTCTTCTGTATCTTGTATTGCTGGTTTGTAGCCAAAGCAGCCGAAGTCTGCTCCCAGCCATGGCTGAGCAGTTGGAAACAGAGTCTTACCCAACACCTCCACTTCTTCTGTGAACTGTGCATAAGAACAGACTTGGCTGGAAAAAGCCCTGCCTCCTAAGATGCCAGGTTACCTCTTGTACTGACCCAGAAAGGTTGGTTTCAATCAGGTACCAAAAGTCTTATCTGTTGTAACCGCTGAAGTATTTGATGGATTGCTGGACTGGTGATAGCTACAGCTCTTACATACAGTTGTGGTTGTGGAGAATATCTCATTGCAAAGGGTGTTTTACATTTGCTATTTTGCACAAAGAATCTGGTGCCTTGTCTTAGTGTATACTGTCCATCCTGAGGAAATTTGGCTCCAGAGCAGCACTAAGTCGTAGGTTTGCACCAGAATTCCTGCACTTCTTGTAAAACAAAATGCAGCTCAAGTGTAACGGATGTAGTGAGGCTCATCTGAGTCTGCAGAAAGGCCTTAGTAGCCCTTTGGAAAGCAAACTGTCAATGTGGAACCACAATAATGTTTCTCTCATTTTGTGGCAAGTCCAAAATTTTCAGTGAGAAACTAGGAATGCAATAGAGCAGGAATGAATGCGAAGCCTGTGCTCAAGGCTATCAATCAAGGAAGGCTTTCTGGGAGTTATTTTCCTGTCACTGTTGAAGTGTCAATTATTAGAGTGACTTGAAAAGTAGAAAAAGTTTCATTGAAGATGTTTCTTGAAATAGTCTTCATCCCCTTAGCTGTTGCTAAGAAGCTATATTTCATGTTTTTCTCTCTGATTTTTCAGGGACCGCCTTAGAACAACCACCAATGTCCTGGGGGATTCTCTGGGGGCTGGCATTGTGGAGCATCTCTCCCGGCGTGAGCTGGATGCGCAGGACTGCGAACTTGGTAATTCTGTGATAGAGGAGAAAGACCAGCTCTCCTACCTGGTGTGCACACAGAATGACATCCACAGGCACCTCAGGAGTGAGACAGCACTGTGAAATTGGGCAGCAGAGTGCAGATTAATGCTATAAAAGCCAAGACTTGAAACAGAAGTCCATAGTAGAGGACAGAGAAAGATCCACTCTCCAAGATGCACACTTTTCTCCCCACCTCTGCCACACGCAGTCTTCCCTGATCCCGTTTCTCCCCCATCTCTTTCTGACTGGCATTAAAGAGGAGGAAATTAAACTGCAAAGAAATTTTATTCCACAGAAGCCTGATTTAGTCATTCTTATGGCGTCCAAGAGTTAGACCTGAGTAAAGAAGACTCAGTGAATGAGCTGGACTAGGAGCTCCTTCGTTTCTGAGCTAAAGTATGAGCACAGCTAAGTGGCAAGGTGGGTCAGGGACACCAAAACCTGTGGGCTGGCACCAAAATGTTGCCATGATGACTCTGCCCTGCAGGATACAGCTGCAAAGCCTTCACTTGGTTGCTGGCTTCCCCCAAGCACATAAAGCTTTTAGCATTGGCCATTTGGAGATCCCTGGAGAGCCCCAGCACTCCTGTTCAAGCTCTTCATTGCCAAGAGTGTTTATCATAAACACAGTGTCCTCCTTGCTCACAGTCCTGGTGTTTGCACAGATATGCGGATGATGCTTCCTGAGAGCTTCTCACTCCTCCAGCAACCCTTCTGGCTGCAGATACTGGAGTCACCCAGCTCCTGAAGGAATGTGAGACCATACAGCAGGGACAGGGCTTACTGTGCTGGCTGGTAGCACAAATAGGGGTCAATAGGCTTTTCAGTAGTGGAAGCTGCTAAAGGACTGTGAAAGCAGCAAACAATTAAAGAATTTATTATCTCCATTATGCAGCCTCTGAAACAGGTCTCCCCTCTACCAAACTCTGTCAACCACCAGTTAACTTCATTTCTCTTTAGCAAGCTGTTCTCCTCTTGGTGAAACAAGAAGGGGAAATGCAAAGTTTAAGAACAGTTTGCCCTCCTGAGCAGCTGGGTGGTACCTCCACGCCAGGAATGACTCCCTGCTACCCCAGATTTGCTCAGAAAACAGTTTCACTCCTCATTATAAGACTCCTAAGGAAACTGTTCCTTTGCTCATCTTTGGCTATTTTCAGAAGGGACTTCCCTTCAGTCACATAGCTCCAGACTGTGCTTCCAAATATCTCTGTCTTTCTACAGCTCTTTATCTTTCATAGGCAGTACCCAACCACTTCTCAGCACTTGTATAAGTTTGCCAGACACTAAACTTATAAATGCAGCATAAATTTCTCAGTTCCTACCAAATGGAGCTCAGCTTCTGTTTAACACACTTGGACATAAGCCCACACAACATCCAAAACATCTCAAGAGGCTCGAGCAAGAAGAAGAGACCTGCTTCATCCATGCTCTGTCCCCTTTCCCTGGCGTGGCCAGGAACACAGCCTGTATCTCTCACTCCAGTGAACAGGACCAATAGGGTTTGCTCCATAATATCCTGGTCCATGAACATCCAGTAAATAAATGTCTAGACACAAACAGGAGGATGTAAAGGATCCACAGTTCTTGGGCTACTACAGTGTAGCTGTCCTGCTTTAGAAATGGCTAAGCTCAGAAACAGCAGCAAGCAACCTCCTGTTGCACAGCCGATCTATCTAAACTGGGTAGCTTTTACTTGAGATCTGCTCATTATTCCAGACCCAGTATATCCCTTAAACCCCTCTACCCTGGCTTTCCATACTGATTCTTTTCATCCAGAAGGCCTAGCCATAAACTCAGAGGTGCACCTAAGTGGACCTCAGGAAGGAAGACCTCAGAGGTGTCATCTAGAGTCAACTTTGCCAACCACAACTGCACAAGTGCCCATGCTTAGCTCCCAAGCACTAACAGAGCTTCCTAAAACACATTTCTGGAGATGTCCAAAGCCAGATCCTGAGGCTCTTTTTGGTCCTTCAGGAATTGCAGGATTATATATTGGTGCTGCCACATTCCACATCCTGTGGGCAGAGTATTCTATTTTTATGGGCTGGGCGATTGTTGGGAATCTGAGACAAATGGACAAATGCATCTCACATAAAAGTGGATAACAGAGCAGGGTAAATAGAAATGTATTGTAGCTCCATTTAGTAGTATTTGGTGCCAGACCCTAAGGCAGCAGGCTGTTTCCTGACTGTGGAAGGCAGGTTGCTTATCCTGACAAGAGATCTGCTCTAGCAGGGGGCAAGTGAGCAGGATAACAAATTATTATCCTCCTCTCTGCAGCATTTTTTTATCTTGTATGAATACAATTATAATGTCTGCTCTTCTCCTTTCTAGACTAAACAGACCCTGTATACCCTCACAGGTAATAATCATTCATGTTCCTCTCCTCTGGACTTTTTCCTCGCTGTTCCACATCTTTCTTAAAGTGGAGTAGCTAAAACTTGACACAACAATCCAACTAAAGATTTATTAGTGCTGAGCACTGAGGAAAGAATATTTCGTGCACATTAAGATTTAGATCTTAGTCTCAAGTTGCCACAGTTTAACAGCATGCTGTGCATCAGCTGATCAGGATAACTGCCCATGATGCATACATACAAGGAATTCAAGTCTGTTCATCTTATCTTAAATCTTAGTGAGGTTAGACTCTTACTTTGATGAGACAGCTGTATCTAAAGACTGGATCTTAATCAAAGAGTTTTAAGATACTCTGCAGTAGCTTGTATCCATAGTGGGCTAAGACAGCACTAGCTTATCATTAACACAGCTCAGCTGATGTGAGTCTAAACCTTCATAAAGAACAGACCTGCTTATAAAACCCAATAAAGTGCCTTATTTTTTCACAACAGCATGATAGCATTGACTCAGCTCCAGTGGTAATACATGATAATTCGTACATTATTTTAAGTAGAACTCCTGCCTAGCCAGTAATTTCCCAGCCTGTGTTTGTGCAGTTGATTATTGTTACCTAAGTACAGTAATTTATATTTGTCCATATTGAACTTCATCTTTTTTTTTCTTTTTTTTTTTCCAGACTATTTGTCCAACTTTTCAAGAAAGCATTGAATTCTAATCCTGAAGAGACTTCCTGTATATAAAGGGCAAACTGATGGATGAATTGGAAGAAAAGATTGTTGGATTGAACTCTAGCTCAAATGGGAATTAATTCTGGGAAGTCCTATGGCTTGGGTTATACAGACAGCCAAACTAGATGATCATAAGGGTCCCTTCTGGCTTTATAATATATGCACGTGCTTTCTGGTTTAGAGATATTGCAAAGGGTCCTTCCAGCCTGATCATTTTTAAAAGGTGTCTGGAAGGATCCTAATGATACTTTAATAAAACTCAGCAGGAGTCTAACCTGTTTTCAGTTGCTGTTAGCAGACATGTGAACATATCACAAAAGGGGCTCTCCATACCACATTGCATCAACATGATCTCAGATGTTCCCACAAAGTAGTACACTCCAAGCCTTGACATTTGTGATTTCCTGCTTTCAACACAAGATTAATGGAGCACAAACAAGTAGAGGCCTCATTTTCAAATACTGCAAATGAGTCTCCCATGGGGAATTTCAGAATTCAGCTGATAGTTTTTAGCTCTGGTGTTTATCCATGTCATTAAGCAGTTTATGACTGGGATTATCTATCTGCTTACGGTACCCAAACAGTAAAGTATTGTCAGGAATTTGCATATCTATATATAGATATATATATATATACCTATATATATATATGAAAGGGGCACATGTGCACAAACATACATATACACAGAGGTTTGGGGTTTTTTTGCTAATCCAAGAAGGAAAGGCAATACTAAACTCTCACTCTGTAAAGCTGCATACTTCATTTTGATGGCCACCTTGATTTACCCAACTAATCCCATCCTTAAAAAAACAGAGAATATTTTACTTTATTCCAGTAATAAGTCTTCCAAAGCAAGGTTTACCAGGAAGGAGCATAGTGCATGCTGATTTGAAGTTGTACCTGCTGGTGATATAAAGAGAACTTCTCAATGTACAGACAAAATTCTCCACTTTGTCTTTGACTTCCCAGCGCATATCCCAGGGACCCACATCCCCACTGCATCTGACTTGGCAAGGAGGCAGGCTTTAAGAGCTCAGCCAAGAATACAGAAGTGTTTGTACTCCTTCCAAACCCAACACTGACCTTGTACTAACTCAGCCTTCAAAACTGGATAACTGAAATTATTAAATCATTTTATCAACTGTCTTTTTAAATTACCAGATATTTGAGAGTTTATGCAGTCTTTTCTTTACTGCAGTCTTGCTGCTTCTACTTGCAGAAACTTTCCAAGTTTCTCCTATTTGCAAACAGATTTATTCCTAATGATTAGATGGGCAACATTTGGGATGAAATAGAGAGCTGTCTCAATGCATACATAAATGAAGAGCTCTTGGATTAGGACACATCTCTTCAAAATTAATTTTAAGAGCGAAAATCCATGAAGAATATGGATTTTCGGATGATAGGCCATGTGTCACATTACGTATGTGATATGTGCACATTGTTTCAGGAGTCAGATCTGCCCATGAAAACTGCCCTGAAATTGTATGTACTTCTTTTCCTCTGCCCAAGGAAGAAAGAGATAGCTGGAAATCAGTGCTGTACAGTGTGTTCATAGCATTCTGACAGTTTGACTATGTTAATTCCCAATTTTTTCTTCATGCTGTGAGTTTCAGTGTTCATAAAGATAGTTTGCATATTTGAAAAATAAAGGGAATTTTTCCACGATGTTTTTTTCTATTTTTTTTCCTCAGGACCATGCCTTACAAAGTTAGGGACATTACTTTTAGCATTATGTATTACACTTCCTTATCTCCATGTGCCTATGTCATGGGTCAAATACCAAATCCATATTTTTACAAGGCCTTTCCCGAAAGCTTTTTCTTTGATGCCATCTTTTGCATATGTCCATGTCATGGTTTAACCCCAGCTGGCAACTAAGCACCACACAGCTGGCTGCTCACTCACTCCCCCCATGTTGGGATGTGGGAGAGAATCAGATGAGTAGAAGTGAGAAAACTCATGGGTTGAGATAAAGACAGTTTAATAGGTAAAGCAAAACCCATGCATGCAAGCAAAGCAAAATTAGGAATTCATTCACCACGTCCCATCGGCTGGCAGGTGTTCAGCCTTCTGCAGGAAAGCAGGGCTCCATCACTCATAATGGTTACTTGGGAAGACACAATGCCATAACTCCAAATGTCCCCCCATCTCCTTCTTCTTCGCCCAGCTTTATATGCTGAGCATGACATCATATGGTATGGAATATCCCTGTCCCAGCTGTATGCCCTCCCAACTTCTTATGCACCCCTAGGAATAACAAAAACATCTCTGTATTATCAGCACTGTTTTCAGCACAAATCCAAAACATAGCCTTATACCAGCTACATGAAGAAAATTAACTCTATCCCAGCCAAAACCAGCACATTCTCCACCCCTAATTCCATACCATTTACATCATGCTCAGGTCCCACACTACCCAATACCACCTCATTAACCACCACCCCCTCTTCCCATCCTTTGATATAATACACAGATATCATTCCCTTAGTCTATGGACCACCCCTATAAAATGTCTTTAAAATGTCCACAAATGTCCACAAAATGTCCGCTGAGTTCATTTAGTCCATGACTTTGGGCTCCATCTGTTATGGTGATCACTCAGGACGGGATAGATGGTGTGTTGCACAGTTATGGGGCACCAAAGCCAGTTTAGGTCAGGCCACTGCTGCACTTGCACAGCTTCTTATAAGGCTTGTCCTCCATTGTTTTGGGTGGTTCCTGCTATAGTAATTCCTCCAACACGCAACTCAAATCATGGGTTACAACAATTTAAAGGTATTTCCATTACAATCTCTACCCCTGGTCTCTTCGGGCCAGGTTATAGGGAGTAACATTGCAATGAACTCCTCCTCTTGCTCCTAGGCTGGCTAGGACTTATCCACAGACTGCAGTCCCTTAGGGTTGTACCTGCTCCAAGTGGAGCCTTATCTATGAGCCACAGTCTCGTCAGGAGTATACCTACCTGCTGTGGCATAGACATATCCACAGCCACAGTCACTTTGAGGTGCACTTGTTTCAGTGTGGCCTTATCCATGGGCCACAATGCCTTCAGAGATACCCCTGCTCCAGTGTACTGGCAGAGCTGCACGAAGCTTACTTCACATACACAGCACACAAGCACGTACTTCCATCTATAAAATTCACCCCAAACAAAGGTTGTATGGAAGACGTCTCTGAGGCTTAAACAATAATGAGTTTACATTACTCACTGAAACATTGCATTAATGACGTGGTATTTGAACAAAGTGAAAGCTGTTAGTTCTTCTCCCCTTGATATCCCTTTTTTTTTGTCATCTGTTCCCTAAGGGACAGGAACTGAGGTGAGTAACATGGCTGATGGGGCAAGGTCATCACCAGTCAGGGCCCAGTCCCACAATAACCAAGAAAGGCAAGCAGCACAGACTCAGAGATGATGGCCAGGTCCAGCCAAGAGTCCAGACCATAAGACAATAGCATGGTGATGAAGCAGGTCTGAGGTAGGGGCCCTAAGTGAGGCTACCCAGGGCCATTAAGGCCTATTAGTGCACTTGGGGTGCATATGCAATCAAGTCCACACCTCCTGTCCTCCCAGCTATGCAGACTCTCCTGTGTGGTACAGGTAGTTTGGTTGAGGGATCTCTGGAGATCATCTAGTCAAACCCCTCTGCTCAAAGCAGGGTCAACTAGAGCAGGTTGCTCAGGACTTTGTCCAGCTGAATGTTGAACATCTCCAACGATGTAGGCTCCACAACCTCCTGGGCAACCTGTTCCAGTGTTCAATCACTCTTACAGTAAAGAAGTTTTTCTTTGTTTAAATGGAATTTCTTGTATTTCAATTTGTGCCCATTGCATCTTGTCCCTTCACCGGATACCACTGAGACAAGTCTCAAGGCTCCCTTGAATCTTTAAATTTCATTTAATGTTTCAACAGGCTGGAGAAATGGGCTGTCAGGAACCTCATGAACTTCAGCAAAAAGAAATGCAAAGTCCTGCACCTGGGGAGGAATAACTCCATGCACCAGTATATGAGGGCCACCCAGCTGGAAAGCAGCTTTGCAGAAAAGGACCTGGAAGTCCTGGTGGACACCAAGTTGAACACAAGACAGCAACGTGCCTTTGCCACAAAGGCGGCTAATGGGGGCTGCATTAGAAGGAGTGTTGCCAGCAGGTCAGAGGAGGTGATCCCTCCCCTCTGCTCAGCACTGGTGAGGCCACACCTGGTGTGCTGTGTCCAGTTCTGGGCTCCTCAGTACAAGAAACATGGACATACTGGAGACTCCAAGGAAGGGCCATAAAGATGATGAAGGGACTGGAGCATCTCCCACGAGGAAAGGCTGAGAGAGCTGGGACTGTTCAGCCTGGAGAAGAGAAGGTTCAAGGGGATCTTATCAATGTATATACATACCTGAAGAGAGGGTATAAAGAAGATGGAGCCGGGCTCTTCTCAGTAGAGCCCAGCGACAGGACAAGAGGCAACAGGCACAAACACAGGAGGTTACCTCTTAACACAAGGATACACTTTTTTACTGTGAGGCACAGGTTGCCCAGAGAGGTTGTGGGGGTCTCCATTCATGGAGGTATTCAAAAACTGTCTGGACATGGTCCTGGGCAACCGGGTCTAAGTGACCACTGAGGTCTTGGCCTACTGAGGAGAAGGATGGTGCAGTGGCTGAAGACACAATCACGGGATCCCCCGAGCAGGGCCCTTTCTCTAGTGGGAGCTGCTTTCATTTTTGGCTTTTTGGCTGCACACCCCTCTCCCTCCACGTCTCTCCACTCGTTTCACCCGGGGATGGCTCGGCTTCCGCGCACCCGCTACCCCCAGCTGGGGACCAGAGAGGCTCACCGGCGGCCGAGCTGACACAACGGCCGCGGTGAGGAGACACCTCAGGAGGGCGCGGGCACTCGGCCGCCGTCCGTCCCCTCAGAAATCCCGCCCAGCCCCCGC